CCAGTTGTTAAATAATAGGAAAGAAAGGAGAAAGTATTTTATTGATTCAAATGCAAAACTTTTCACATTTTATCACATTAGGAATTGTGGTCTGCCTTGCTCTCTATAACAGCAGTATAATTGATAGCATTTTTTTTTTCTCTTGGAAGTAGCTAAAATAATCGAACATCATGTATTCAACTAAATGTGATATTTACTGGACATCTACAGTTAACTAGGCACTTTGTATAGCATCTTGCATAATATAACCTTATGAGGTGTATGTCTCCCACATTTTAGTAGCAATCATAATAGCTAACAGCATTTAGTAGTACTATATACAGGGCAGAAGAGCTTTACATATGTTAACATTAAATATTCATAACTACCCTATACAACTCCAAAAAGTTGATTGATTTGCTCCCAACCACATTTCTAACCTTGAACTAAAATCTGAATAGTTAAAAAGCTTTACACTCTTTCATCACCCAGTGGTCTCAACTCTATCAATGCCCATTTTCATCACAAATATTTCTTAGCACCCTCTAATTATGCTAGAATGAAAGTCATAAAGAAACATTTATATACAATATTAAAAAGTATATCCCTAGTTTATATATAATTATGTATGTGACGTTCACAACTATAAGATGAAGAAAGTAATTTATAATCAAATAACTTATATCTCATCAGATACATGCACAGGTGTAGCTACACAGAGGACATGCAGTAGCCAGATGCTTGTACCTAGAACAGGGGTCCCTGAAGCCTGGGCTGTGGACCAGTACCAGTCTGTGGCCTGTTAGAAACTGGGCTGCACAGCAGGAGGTGAGTCGTAGGCAAGTGAGTTTTACTGGCTGAGCTCTTGTCTCCTGTCAGATCAGCATTGGCATTAGATTCTCACAGGAGTGCAAACCCTATTGTGAACTGCACATGTGAGGCATCTAGTTTGCGCACTCCTTGTGAGAATCTAATGCCTGATGATCTGAGGTAGAACAGTTTCATCCTGAAACCAACCCCCTGCCCAGCCCTTCATGAAAAAATTATCTTCCACGAAACTGGTCCCTGGTGCCAAAAGGGTTGGGGACCACTAACCTAGAGTATCATTACTGAAAACGCTCCACAGCTGCAATTCCAGACCTACATACTAGGTAAGGTAGAACAAATTGGCCTTGACAGCTGGATTGGGGAATTGAGGTACAAATCATTGGACAGAGGCTCATAACACAATAATCAGTTTTCAATGATTTTGAGACAAATAGGTATCTCTCAATTCTCCGAGAGGAATTAGACTTTTAATGAGGTGTCATGCAGCAGGCCCATTAAGGAACAGCACAGACACAGCCTTTGACCAGGGGCTCAGGACACAATTTCGGTTCCTAGGGAGAGGGTCCAACAAGTGCAGAAAGGATCAAAACAGAAGCCCAGTCATGGGAGCTAGATAATTCGGGGCACTAAAGATAAATTTGGGGTTATCAAACAGCCCAAAGGAATCACGCCTATCCAAGTCAGCTGGCAGCAAAAGGGACTTGAGACACAAGTATGGCTATAAATCCAGAAAAGGATACATAGCTTTCTCATGTAACAGTGTAATTTAATCACATAAGGGGTATGATACCTTGGGTGAAAATTCAATTTCTCTATCTGTAAAACAAAGTTTATAATACTATGTCCCTACCAGAGTTCTTTGAAGATTAAGAGTTATGCATTTATCATGATTCCTATCATCGTTCCTATGTATAAGTTGAAATTATTATTGTTAATAATTCTTACTATGTAGTTACCCTGTTTTCTGAACCAGATAGGAAGTCCTGCTCACTTTTGTTAAAAATGGTGTTTGTGTTGTGCTCACTTCGGCAGCACATACACTAAAAATGGCGTTTGTGCCTTTACAATATGCAAATCTCAGTTCAGAACTTGAAGAAACCACTAAGTTCTAAACTTTGCTCTGCCCACCATTAATCTCCACTCCCTCCCATTCCATTCACTTCCCCACTCCCCACCTCCACATTCCTAAATTGTCTCTTTTGGAAGCTTTGGTTGCAGATTATTTAGGATGAAGAAGAGTGAATCTTGTAAATTTGCTTCTAAAACCCAGTCACAGATGTGCCGTGTTCTGCCTTTAAACTGCCCATTTCTCAGATGTGCCTGTACTCTAAGTTCCGGTTTTTATGTCCCACAGATGACATTCTGTCCATGGCTCAGAAAGTCATGGAAATGTCTCTGTGCAGACTAAGAGTTGTGACTTCTCCGTGTCCAATGCAGTGGCCAGTGACACATCTGCTGTAGGGTCTGTGGGGTAGGTAAGTGTCAGCGTGTCATCTAGAGAATGAGCTTTTTGAGAAGAGCAAACCTATCTTCACTTTTCAATCCCCTCCATCATGTTTTCTTCAGGTACTTACCAAATGGTAATTTGAGAAAGTGTAATAGCAAGGAAACCCTGATTTCATGAACTTGATTCTTTGCCTCCTTTTCAGCCAGAATATTTTAAAAACTTTTTGCACCATGTTTATGATGCCATTGTGATTGCTGATAATAAGGCTTTTCTTTGGGTAACAGTACACATTTAAAATTGTTATCACAGCTAGTGTAGCCCAGCAGAGAAGTTGCTCTGTGTGTTGCAAGAATCCTTTATCGCAGTCCAGGGATGTAGCTTCTAATCAGCCAGGATGGTTGGGGGAAACCATAGCACATTTATAACCACTAGATATCAAATTTCTGCCTTTTCAAGGAATTAAAATTCAGATAGCCCTTAAAAGGAGTTTCATCATCTACATGGGAGATTATCGAACAAAAATGCTTTTCTGTTTGAAAGAAACTATGTAAAAATAACAATTACAAAGAAAAACTTTATAACTTAAATATTACCTAACTTAAATATCACTTAATAAAGTGAGTCATTTTACCCCTCACAGAGCAAGTTGAGTAGCCAATTTGTGATCTGCTATGTGTATATATCAGGGATACTGTAGCTCTTCTTTTCCATTTACTGATGGGATGGAAAAAGTGAATATGAAGGGTTGCCTTGGGCAGTAAAGTTGACCCTTAAACAACATGGGGACAGGGGTTCCCACATCCATGCAGTTAAAAATCCACATATAACTTTTGACTCCTCGAAAACTTAACTACTAATAGCATACTGTTGACCTGAAGCCTTATAGATAACATAAACAGTTGACTAACACATATTTTGTATGTTATGCGTATTATAGACTGTATTCTAATAATAAAGTAAGCTAGAGAGAAGAAAAGGTTAAAAAAATAGGAAGAAGAGAAAATATATTTACTATTCACTAAGTGGAAGTGGATCATCATAAAGGTCTTCGTGCTTGTCATCTTCAAGTAGACTTATCATCTTTGAGTAGACTGGGGAGGAGGAGGAAGAGTAGGGGTTGATCTTACTGTCTCAGAGGTAGCAGAAGTAGAAGCAAATCTGCATATTGCATATAACTGACTATGCAATTCAAATCCATATTGTTCAAGGGTCAGTTGTATATATTTTAAGTCTTTACAATGTATTCAGTCTCATGAAACCCCAATAGCCTTGGCTGTGCTGCTGCTGGACTGTGTGGTTCACAGTGCAAAGAGAAAGATGCTCCTTCCTCCAGGAGGATTTAGCCCCATGATAGGGGGAATGATGGGGTAAGTCAAAGAAAATCTGTTTTTAACCACATTTGCCCTTTCAACTCTTCTCTTAGTCATCCTGTGGCTTAGAACTACAAACTTCCACAGCCTTCCAACTGATAAGATATAGGAAAATGGGTAAAAAGTAATCAACATTTAAAAAAAACTATGTAACATACATCACATGTACAAAGGGGGCTATAAGATATGGGTTTTTCTTCTCACAATAGATTTCATGCTCACAACAGCCATTCCATTGAAGACATCCAGCATGGCAAAATGGAATAAGGTTTTAGTAATCTCATCGAGAAATAGATTGTTAAAGAAAAAATGGTTCAATATTACTTGTTAAAGCATGGTAAGGCAGGCTTTATTCTGTACCATTGAGAAGTAAGGGACCATGGCAATGGGATTTTGCAGTAGGGGAGAGAAATTGGGCTTAACTGCAGAGTATAGACAAGTGGGAATTTATAGCCAAGGAGCAAGGTGGTGGTCAGTGGATGAAAAAATAGTAACAGGAAACATCAGGGGTAAGGAGGATTCTAACCTAACAGAACCTGACAGAATTCTTGCTGAAGACAAGCCAGACATTCCCATGGAGGGAGACAGTGACCTTTGAGGTAGGGATTCTTGCTAAACGGACTTAGCAGAGTTCTTTACTAAAACTGGATTTTATGCGAAAGTCCACAGATCGGCATAAGAGAAAGTCTAGAGCCTAACTAAATTTGGCCAAGGAAAGAATCTATCAAGGTGAATGCAGCGTTCGAACTGGAGATTAGGGCTAAAGAAGCAAGGATTCCTGTGTGAGCTTCCCACCACTGAACACTGTACCCCGCAGTGAAAGCATCCAAATGAGCACTGAAGTCAGATGGCTGCTGAAATCTGTCCCTATCGCCTCATTCAAGAGTCTTGGAGGTTCTCTGCCTGTCTTGGCTACATTGCAGCAGTGGCAGCATAATTCTGAAAGCCTCCAAACAATCCAGTTAGCCACACAGTATCTGTGTAGCTCTAGTAATTTTCAAAGCCCCCTCTCAAACCTCCAGCAGGTCCCCACCAGTAAAGTTCTCCTCCTGGTCTCAGTGGAGTGGTCATGGATCATTCAACCTGCTTAGTCACCTGTCAGATCTTTGTAAGGCTACAGAGGAGAAATCAATATGCTTTACAATGTGTAAACAATGAATTTGTCCACTGAGAGATCCTGAAAATTTTGTTTAAAGAAATAAATAGGAAAAAAATTATTTCCATTCTGTCATGTCTGGTCAAGACTTGTCCAGATTCTTTCTGTGTGTCTAAAATGTTCTAAAGCTCAAAATTCTTCTAAATCTCTGCTATTTTAGGATAAATAACTTCTAGTGAATTTCTTTAAATTAGATGCTGAACTTATTTTAAATTGCAAGAAAAAAGTATTCAGGGTGTGGGCATTTTTTTTTTTTAAGAGAGAATTTGTGCGGAAAGGTAGACTATTACCTAGAAATTCAGAACACATCCAGTCAGCTCAGTGGCACAGCATGTTCTCATTAACCAATCTCTCTGCCAGCTTTTTTTAAATTGTCATTGCTATTCTACCCTCTTTGTGTTTTAAAAGTCTTCAGAGGGAGACATATTTTTAATGATTTGCTTTTCTTTCCTAAGCTTTCCACAAATTAAACTCTGTATCCTGTTTGCTTTGCTATGTTCAAACTTCTCAAGGATTTTTACAATGAGAATCAAAAAGATTCTTGCTTCATGGAAAATACCTTAGAGATGCATTTTCTAGGAAGGGTGGTGCAGACATTTTTAATATTCTGTATTTTAGTTCCTTTAACAGGAAATGCATTCAAGCCTGTATTTTAAATATTAAAATAACCATTCTTTAACTTTGTGACTAGATTTCATTTTCCCAAAGTGGGAAAAACTATTATTTATGTAACCTCCCTCAAAATACTTCAGAACCTCTTGTGTCTTATCTCCTAACATAGTTTAACATAAACAGAAATAGTCTTAGAGTTGAAATCATTAGAGATTCTTAAGCTTCTGGTAAGTTTAATTAGTTTGCTATTATATATTACTGTCATATAGATATTTTACTCAATTGCTTAAAAAGGAATGGCAAAACGAAATATAAAAACCTGAATGTAAATTATTTTGCCCATAATTGACTTAAAGAAACATGATGGATCAGCCCAGTATTTGATTACATTGATATGGACAGGAGACAGGGAAATACAGGTTCCCTGGCAAAGGCCCCACCCTGAAGCCTGGAAACCCAGGGCCCTAAGTGAGAAGAGGCATTCCTGTTCTTTGCACTCAAAAACTCCCCTTCTGGCCTGCCATGTCCCTTATTATATACCATATAAATCCCAAACCCCAGGCTCCAAGGGAGACAGGTAGACAAACAGCAGAATGGCATGGCAGAGAAGGAGAGAAGAAGAACATCCGACTGTCAAGAGGAGTTCAGCTGGGGACAATTGGAGAGAAGATTGGCTACTGGACAGCCAAACTCAGGAGAATATCATCTTCCCACGCCATCCCCCTTTCAGCTCCCCATCCATCCCACTGAGACCTACCTCCACCACTCAATAAAACTTCCGCATTGATCCTTCAAGTCCATGTGTGACCTGATTCTTCCTGGATGCCAGACAAGGACCTGGGTACCAAGAGGAAACGGAACTGGTTAACACTTAAGCTGTCTGCAGACAGCAAAGCTGAAAGAGGAGCACACTGTAACACATGCCTACTTGGTTTCAGGGATGGCAGACACCCACCCCTAGCCAGTTCCATGGGGTCAGAGCCCAAAGTGCTCGACCAGCTCCTGCACCTTCCCACCTGTGTGCTCCCCCTCCTTTAAGGGATTTGAGCTCATGGTGGCCCAGCAGAGAGCCACACGCTTGTTGCACATCCTGCAAGGGGGATCAGGGAACTCTCCCATCTCAATATGTACACAAAGTTTTTATTTCTCTGGGGCATTTTAGTAAGAGGAAGAATTGAGGCCCTCCCAGGTGCCACTTTCTACAAGCCAGTCCCTTTGTGTTTATTTTTCTCCAATACTGACAGATTAAACAGAATTATGCCTAACACTAAAACTCAAACACATTCTCATCCCATCAAAAATGCACTGAGGACTTACTATAAGTAGTCAAGGTAATTTCCATTTTCAATTATTCCTGTAAAAAAAAAATTACCACTTATAAGAAAGTTTACTCCTGTGTTGTATAGTAACTCAACGCACTTCTATTTCCACTTGATTTCTCCTGGATCTCCTATAAAAAGCTGTGTGACGAACAAAAGAGCCCCTGGGTATATTTGTGTTCTGTGTGCCCCTTTTACTGTGACTTGTGTGTTTCCTTTCTTAACCAAGGGACTTTCTCAAATTTAATTTATGAAGGGTTGGGGATTAACTAACAGGAAATGGAACAATAGATAACCAACAGCTTTGGACTCAAGCCTCCCCAGAAAAAGAGAAATATATTAAAGCAAGCAAACAGACAAACAAAATGGGATGGAAGGGAGAGGAAAGAGATGAAGAAAGATAGAGAAACACATATGGCATTGCATTAACTAAAATTTAGAGCAGTAGAAAGAGTGCGGGGGAAAAGAAACATGGTAGAGCCCACGGAAGAAGACCAGGCAATCAGGGAATCAAGAGGTTGCCTTCAATTCACACAATACTTGTGAACTTTTAAACAAGTGACTGTGGGAGATTGCTGGTGACTCATGGTGGTGTAGACAATCGAGAAACAGGGTTGGCAAGAGTGCAAGGAGAGGCCCTTAATGGCAGCCCCAGTGACCTTGCTGCACCCTACATTTGACCTCAGTTGGAGTTTGGGATTGTGGAACAACACTGCTGAACTTTATACTTAGAATAATCCATACCCCTGTTTGCTTGAGACAGTGTTGAAGTATGCATCTGATTTAACGTTCTAGCACTCTTAAAAGTGTATTGATTATGGCCAGGCATGGTGGCTCATGGCTGAGATCCCAGCATTTTGGAGGACCTTGGTGGGAGGATCTCTCTAGCCCAGGAGTTCAAGACCAGCCTGGGCAACATAGGGCGGTCTGTCTGCACAAAAATTAAAAAGTTAGCTGGGCGTGGTGGCACACACCTGTGGTCTCAGCTATGTGGGAGGCTAAGGTGGGAGGATTGCTTGAGTCTGTGAGTCAAACCTGCAGTGAACCGTGGTCATGCTACTCCATTCCAGCAAGTGAGAACCTGTGTCAAAAAATGATAATAATAATAAGTGTATTGATTATGGTCATCTTGTATATTCCAATTCTGTAACACTTTTTTTTTTTCTTTTTTGAGATGGAGTCTCGCTCTGTTGCCAGGCTGCAGTGCAGTGGCACCATCTTGGCTCACTGCAACCTCCACCTCTTGGAATCAAGTGATTCTCCTGCCTCAGCCTCCCAAGTGGCAGGGACTATAGGCGTGTGCCACCATGCCCAGCTAATTTTTGTATTTTTAGTAGACATAGGGTTTCACCCTGTAGGCCAGGATGGAACACTATTCTTAATCTTATAATTTTATGGATTGTGTCATGATTTTAAAACAATCACTCAATTAATAAATATTAACTTCAAATCATGTGTCAAGCACTGGGTTTGAAAATGGAATCTAAAGTTAAAATGATACATTCTGTGCTTTGGGGGAACTTTCAATCTAGGGTAGAAATACACAAATGAACCTCTTGTGAGAATGTTTTACACACTGCTCAGGTTTCTGGGGTCATCTTTTTTATACAGTTAGACTATATCACTGTAATAGGATGTATATGGAAGAAAGTTGAAAAGGAAGAGGATGGGTGGATATTTCTCAGCATAAAGCATCTCCTGGTGACTTAGTAGATTTTCAAGTGGAAGTAAAACTTAGAAAGTTGATCAAAGAGCTAGGAAATCTTGCTTCTTTTTTGACTCTGAGCTTCAAGAATTAAGACAGTTCCTGACAGTGAGAACAGATGGTCTCTGCCAACTGTAGGCAGGCAATGGGGGACCAAAGGCTAAAGGTGAGCAACATAAATCTCATAAGAAGAATGTTAGGAGAATACTCTTTTCAATACGAGCCTCCCTTCCATTGCCAGCCCCAAAGGCCAGCGATTTTGTTTTATTAGGGGAAATGACTAGTTTCCTTAATAACATGTATATGAAAAACAACTAATATGAAAAAGACTAAAATAATGACAAGTCAACTGAGACAGTGCAAAGATAGAGGAGAAACTCCTTTGGCCAGTGAGAGACAACTTCTCAGAAGAGATAACACTTGATCTTAGACTTACATGTAAGCAGATTTTAATCGGACTAATAGGGGAGTGGGATTGGAAGGGTGGCGAGCTGAGTGCTTAATAGGCAGAAGGACTAGTCTGTGAAAAAGCACTGAATTTTGAGACCACATTAATTAATTCATTCATAAATTAACGAATTGCACCCAGGAGTTCAATATGTATTGAGCACCTGCAGTGTGCCAAGCATATTCCAAGGTGCTGGGTTCTAGGAGGAAAGTCTGCATTTCTAGTTGGTCCCACATGATCCTGATGCTTCTAGATAATGAATAAGTAGCAAAACTACAAATCACTGAACTTTATTACCTCAGTCAGATATAAAGCTGGCTCAGTGGCTAATGAAAGACCTTCCAATTCTTTATTTTTCCTGTGTCAATGAAAAAAGCCAAACTCTATAAAATATTTAAAGAGGTTTACTATGAGCCAAATATGAGTGATCAAGGTCTGAGGCACAGTCTCATGAGCTCCTGAAAACATGTGCCCAAGGTGGTTGGGTTATAGTTTGATCTTATACGTTTTAGGAGAACAGAAGTTACAGGGAGATATCAATCAACACATATAAGACATACATTGGTTCAGTCCAGAAAGGTGAGATAATGTGAAGGAGTGGGGCTTTTAAGTCACAGGTGGACTCAAAGACTTTCTTTCTTTTTCCTTTTTTTTGAGACGGAGTCTTGCTCTTGTTACCCAGGCTGGAGTGCAATGGCGCGATCTCGGCTCACCACAACCTCCGCCTCCTGGGTTCAGGCAATTCTTCTGCCTCAGCCTCCCAAGTAGCTGGGATTACAGGCATGTGCCACCATGCCCAGCTAATTTTTTGTATTTTTAGTAGAGACGGGGTTTCACCATGTTGACCAGGATGGTCTCGATCTCTTGACCTCGTGATCCACCCGCCTCGGCCTCCCAAAGTGCTGGGATTACAGGCTTGAGCCACCGCGCCCGGCTCAAAGACTTTCTGATTGGCAATTGGTTGAAAGAGTTGAGTTATTATCTAAAGACCTGGAATCAGTAGAAACTAATGTCTGGGTTAAGATAAGCATTGTGGAGACCAAGGGTCTTATTATGTTGATGAAGCCTCTAGATAGCAGCTTCAGAGATAATAAATGGGAAATGTCTCTTATTAGACCTTAAAAGATGCTAGCCTCTTAGTTAAATCTCTCTGGGATCAGTAAAAGTCTTGGAAAGGGGAGGAGATTCTCTACAGAATGTCAGTTTTCCCAGGAGACAGCTTTGCAGGGCCATTTCAAAATATATCAAAGAGACATATTTTGGGATAAAATACCTTGGTTTCTTCCAGGGCCCTGCTATCTGTGCGTTAGTATCTTATTGCTACAGAGTCTGGCTTGTCAGTCTTAAGATCTGTGTTTTAATGTCAATGCTGACGTTTAGTTGTGCCTGAATTCCAAAGGGATAAGAGTATAATGAGGCATGTCCGGATTTCCCCACCCATCCCCCATCCTGACATAAACTAGTTTTTCGGGTTTACTTTGGCATTACTTTGGCTGAGAGAAGGGGTTCATTCAGTTGGTTAAGGAGCTTATAATTTTATTTTTGATTTATACCTGTTAAAATTTGCCATCAAAAATTTCAAGTTACCAATCT